GAGCTTTGTACCGATCAATGGACCCATCAGAGTGAGTTTTGATCTTGTAGACCCACTTGCATCCCATAGCATGTTTACCCTTTGGTAGATCCACTAGATCTCAGGTATGAGTGTTTTCGAATGCCTGTAGTTCATCATTCATTGCTTTTTGCCAAAGAGGATTAGAACTAGCTTCACGATAAGACTGAGGTTCATGGTGAGAAAGAATAGTAGAAAATACAACAAAGTCACGAAGATTAACAGAAGGAATTTTTACCCTGTCACTTCGTTGAGTAGAGAGATCAGAAGCTGTTGGAGCGGATCCATCGGAAGAGACAAGTTCTTCAGAAGAGGGTAAGATGGATAACTCAATTGAGGGATCTGTAGACATGTCAATTGGTAATGACATATCTGAGAGAGAGAGAGAGAGGATGTGTTGGTGGAGATGTTGACTCAGAGGAAGAGTTTGTCTCAGGAGTGTTAGGAAAAAGATATGTGGATAGACCAGTGAATAGGAGAGAAGTGTTGTTATGTGGCAGGTGAAACTTGGATATGGAGGTGAACATCTTGTGTTCCCAGAAAACAACATGACAAGATACTCGGAGACGTTTGGAGTAAGGATCCCAACATTTGTAGCCTTTGTGTTCAATACAGTATCCTAAGAAACAATATAATCGAGTTCTAGATTCCAATTTGGTACGCTCATGAGGTTGAAGAAGAACAAAACAGACACAACCAAATACCTTCAGAGTGGTTCTTGGTATAAACAGCTGTAAGAGCAGCTTCACCCCAAAAGCTATCAGGACATGAAGAGGATATGAGAAGAGCACGGACGGTATTGAGAATATCTCAATGTTTTCGTTCAGCACGCCCATTTTGTTGAGAAGTGCCGGGACATGAACGATGAGGAAGGGTGCCATGTTAGTGAAGAAAGTTAAGGACTTTGTAGTCTGTGTATTCAGCAGCATTGTCAGCACGAAACACTTTGATATTGCAAGAAAATTGAGTTTTGACCATGGGAGCAAAATTAAAGTACAACTAAGGTAATTCAAATCGATTGCGCATAAGAAATATCCAAGTGTAACAAGAGTAATCATCAACAAAAATGACAAAATATCTGGAGCCTCTCATTGTGGGAGTGGGAGACGGGCCCCAAACATCAGAGTGAATCAAATCAAATGGTGCAGAAGAAAATGAATCACTTTTGTAAAATGGTAATGCCGATTGTTTTGCAAGTTGATAAGGAAGACAATCAAATTATTCTTTAGTAATAAGTCCTAAATGACCACTAGATGCTAAAGATTGAAGACAACCAGCAGAAGCGTGACCCAGACGAGAATGCCAGAGACTGATGGATGGGGTAGATGAGACCGGAGCTGCTGTTTGAACTGATGAGGAGAAACGGGATGGAAGGTGAAGATTGATGAGCTCAAAGAGTCGTCCAACCTTACGGCCTATCCCAAGAGTTTGTCCCGTCTTTGGATCCTGCACACAACAACCAGAAGCAGAAAAGATGACAGTTAGACCGAAGTCACATAATTGACCAACAGATATAAGATTGAGAGTGAGTTGTGGAATACAGTAAGTATCAGGAAGAGAAATGTTTAATGTCGATATTTTTCCGATATGACTCACAGTCATAGAAGAACCATCAGCTGTTTGAATAGTCGGAGCATGATTAGCAAGATGTTTGGTGGCAAATATAGTGGAATCAGGTGTCATGTGATTACAGCATGCAGAGTCGAAGAACCAGGATGAATTACCTGAGGTGACTGACATAGTAGTAGAGGGTATATTACCAGAATGAGCAAGGACTTGTTTGACAATTTCCTCTATGTTAGAGGCAAAAAACGTCTCAATGGAAGTAGTGAATGATAAACCTTCAGCAGTAGTGGCGGCAGATCTAGAAGGAGTACCGCGAGACATGTATTGCTGGGAGTGTCTGTTAGGGTTTTCAAAACAATCACGCTGAAGATGGCCTGGGGTTTGCTTCTGACAGAATTGGTAAACTCGAATCGGGCATTCCAAGAGAGTGTGTCCTGGTTTCTTGCAGTAATTGCAGAATTTTGAAGATCTAGATGGTTTGCCCTTTGTGTTGAAAAGATCCAGATGAATGCCCTTTGTTGTTGGGTTGAGGTCCTCTGGGAGTGGCGAAGACAGCATCTATAGAGGTTGTTTTGCGAAGGGTAAGACGAGTTTCCTCTGAACGAAGTTCGGTAACAGCTTGATCTAAAGTAGGTAAGGGATTGCGGTGAAGGAGAGATGCACGAACATGCTCAAACTCATTAGTGAGGGCCATGAGAAAGAGAACCAAGTGTTGCCGATCTCGATAGTCGAAAAATTTCTTAGCATTTTTGGCATCTGTAAACTCTGATTCTGAAGAAGGAAGTTGATCCCAAACATAGTGCATCTCAGATAAGAAACTATTGATGGATTGCCCAGGTTGTTGTTGCATACGATGTAGAGTGTATTGACGAGACAGATCTGCGGTGGTGTAGCGTTTCTGTAGAAAATCCCATAATGACTTGGCAGTCTTGAATATACCAAACTGGAGACTGATGGAGCGTACACACGTGTTGCGAATCCAAGTGATAATTTGGTGGTTCTTGCTATCCCACTCTTCGAGACAATCTATGTATTTTGTGTTGTCTTCTCCAACGACTTTCTCTGGTTCAGTGATATCACCGTGACATAGGGCCATAGCTTTTTGCCCTTAAGAAAGCTTGACATAGCCTGAGCCCATATGGTGTAGTTGAGTCCTTTCATGATAATAGCAATGAGTTGTGAAGCCTCAAGATGCTCCATAATGTGAACGAAAATAGAGGAGGAGCAAGAAAAATAATAATAATAATAGGAACCGAACCGAACTGATGGAGTGGTGGCTGAGATGACGTCGATGGAGAATAAGACTCCGACTATAGTGACTACCCAACAAGTATGACGAGGATATACAAGAAGTTTTTCTGATGTGAAGGATCCACTAATAGTGGCAATCACAAAGCATACTCAACCCTTTATATATCGAAAACCACTAAGGATAGTAGCTCTGATACCAAGTTGAATTTAAGAGAGAAAATAAGACAATATAAAGAGAATAGAATTGTATTGAATAGTGTAATTTGTTTACAAGAGAGGCATCCTATTTATAGTTTAACTTGATATGAATATTTTACTTTCTAATCAATGTGGGACTAACTAACATGTACATTGTGTATATATGTATATACATTAACATGTTCTACTCCTCTTCTCCCGTCTGAGCACAAATGTGGGTCATTATACCAACATTATCTCAAACCTAAGGGTTTTGGAGTAAGATTTTGGAATAATTAATAACAATGTCCATTTACATTCTAAAAGAAAATGAGACTTTCAGATTCAGTTTTCTATTTACGGTCATAGCAAGTTTATTTATGGTTACTACTTTGTCTAATTCGCTGTTAGTTGACTACTCCAGAGTAAACTTGTTACCGTTCCAGTACTAATCACTTGATATGGAGCACCACTGGTGAGTTTTTCAAAACAACGGGAGAACTCAAACACGAGTACATAGAGAAGTTAAATTAATTCTTAATATCATGTTGACCTCCTAACGATCATGAATACTTACTAAAATAACAAAGAACTTGAAAATTAATAATTATAACAAAAAATAAAATAAAATTATACTTACAAAACAAATGCAATAGGACGTACCACACGAATGCCAATACCACTGAAGAAAGCCAAAAGATAACAGAAAAAGAATATCTAAGGAAGGAAAAATTGAGAACCATGATAGACGATGGATTCTTGCTAATGTTTATTGCTATATAAAACAAATATACAATTTTTTCCAGTATATTTTATACATTTCAGCTTCCTTAACTATCTCTTTATTCTAAATTTTCAATCATTCTCCAGTTATACATAATGTTACAATATATTTCCAATCTTTCTGGTATATGCTCTTAAAATTTTTAGAACAGTTAAATGCAAGTCAGCTCAATCATCTAGAAACATCATATATCTACAGGATAAATCATGTATAGACCTTGATCATCAGTTTATACAAATCATATATTTGTATTTTTTACTCAATCCAATTTATGTCAAATTCTTTTAATTTCATGAGCCACTTCTCTGTATCTTGAGAAACATAGGTTTTAGATGGCGTCTTCTCCTGGCCATTTACATCGTTAGATTCCAAATAATCAATCTTCTTTTCTTTAGCAAGTGCAGCTTGTCTGTTGGGGTGCCTCACCTTAAGCGACAAAAGACGAGATACTTCATGAAGGCCTCCCCATTTCTCCAATGCACGCGCAATGTCGTAACGACCTATAAGATAAAAATGTTCACTAATAACGTTTAAAAGCATTTACTGAATGAATGAAATAAGCAATCATATTTGTAGAACTTGAAACAAGGTATATGGTTGGGCCAAGACAAGAAAATCATGAAGTGCTAAGATAAATTGATCTTCTGCAATTTGGAAAAAAATTACTGTGTTCTTCCATAATGTTAATGAATAAATATAAATGATTTCCAAGCTAAGTCTTCCAATATCAAGACTTAATAGGAGTTTCATACCTGCACGCTCGAAAGATTTTCTGCTGGGCATGAATGATGGATCCATGCCCCAGTTCCTCTGAAACCGACTTATCTACAACATACAGAGCGCACACGTTACATGTTTGCATTATGAGATGTTTGAAGCAAATCTCATCCACTATTTAGCTTTCAACTAAGAATGCAGATATGGAAACGACACGACACGACACAAAGAGGACACGGCAACACGTGATTTTCATAAAAGTAGGACAAAAACACGGACACGGACTCGTTGATTTAAATTCTTTAAAATATTAAACTTATATATTACATCTTTTTTTTTTAATTACTTTCTAATGCCATGTCGAACACTTGCCTAAGGAATGTATCTAAAGTAACTATCTAGCTTTTGAAACTTAAAAACATATAAAAAATAGGACACAATAAGTGGTCTGTTCGACCATGTCATGGAGTGTCCGAGAAATGCCGTGTCCGACACAACACAATACATGTTGGACATGGACACGACACCCTAGTAGGAATGTCCATTCTATGTAGTCTTTCAATTTAGGCAACTAACCTCTTCTTGCAAGTTTTCAAGGTTGTCCCAGTAACCTTTCGGTTTACGATGTTTGTAAGCGAGGGAAAGATTCATCAATGTTGCAATTCTTCTAAATCCGCCCATGCGTGTAATTGCCTTCTCAATGTCTACCCTCCCATGCTTACGAAGTTGCTTTCTCATTGGCATAAATCCTTCCTGTCCATGTTTGGAAATGAAATTCAGAAGTTCTGATTTAAGAACTTCAATGTCCCTCTGCAAGCCTGGAACCTTGGGTCTTTGGCTAGATGAATTTGAACTGCTGCTATCAGAATGATCTGCTGGCTTACTCAAATTATAGGAACAGCCGGTGCTTGATGAAGCTATTTGTTCCTCTGCATTAGCATCGTGTTTGAATGTCTCCCTAGAATTTTTTATTTCCCTTTTCTCGACATGATCTCGAATAGCACATAAGTTTGAAGGGAGATCTTCGTATATGACCTAAATGTCAATAGTATTTATCCCAAAAGAATTCTTTAAACACTAAAATACAATTTAAATTCAATGAAAAATTTACTTTGCATAACTCAGGAGGAATTTAGATCCAAGAGATTTTACTTCCGTATGCTTTACTGAACTATGCATAAACTGATAGATTTGACAAGTATCCTTAGACAAAAGCTACGGATGAGAGCAAGATTATGAAGCTATAAAAAAATATAGTATTTATTTTACTCGTATATAGATCAAAAGGCAAATTAAGCAGAGATCATGGATTTGGGCTAATTATTTGTGAACATATGTGAGTAATAAGAAGACAGACAATAAGTTATCATAAACAAATATGCATAGTTTTAGAGAATGACTTTCAATTGAAAATAGGGTTAATTTGGAAAATTTTCATTAGAGTATACTCTAATAAAAAGAATCTGGATTCAAGAAATATCAGCCTGAATAAAATGAATAGAAATAGGAATAAACCTCTTCCATAATAGCTTCAGAAAGAAATGAGTTCTTGTGCATTTTTGACTCCACAGAGTACTTTAAAAGTGTATGGTGACTCCCTAATTTCTCCAGGCTCCATCTCCCTCGAAATGAATCGAAGTCTCCCTCAACCTGCTCAAAGCTAATCTCTTGTTCAAGACATTCACACAAATCTAGGACAACACGTGCATGGAGAACCATATACAGTAGGCCCTTGCATCCTTCCTGAACAATCAAAACACAAGTTTCTTAAATTGATAGAACATTTCAACATACAGTTCAATATACCAACAATATAATGATAAGCTTCTTTCAAGCAATGTTACACATAAATAAGAAATGATAGGAAAAAAATGAATAAACCGAGTTTACAAATGGTATTCTCTAGAAAAAAATACTAAATTTTCCTCACGTGAAATAGATTATATTTCTTTAGATCAAAGTTATGAAAATGATCGAAAAACAAATTTCCGATGTCCGAAACAATAATTTGACTACAATGGAAAGCCAGTAACTAAAAACTCAAACTTCCTTCCATCATCAGACTAAATGAGAACAGCATTCCAAACTGGAGATGTAAAAATTTTATATAGAAACCAAGTTTTTAGGTTATCAGAAATCAAAGGGAGTTTTCTTTATAAAAGTAATTGTATCATTAGAATCATGATTATTGCCATTTCAACTTTGTATAACCAGCAAATTAGTAAAAAAAACACATATAAATTTTTTTTCAAGATATTACTTTGAAATTAAAATTAATAAAAAATTTTAGACATAGCAATTGTTTTCTATCTTCAGTGGTAGAGAGTCTTTCAAATGGTAGATAACCAAGTTACGCCCTTCTTTAACTAGTATTTTGTGCAACATTTGCACCCCTTACTCATTTTAATCTCTTGTTTACCACATTTACAGACGAAACAGCTACTGCCTAGATGCTAGGACACAGCTATTTCAATCCTACAAAGCAGAGAATAAGTCACAATATATATAATTTCTCTGCAGGATTCTTTTTGTCTGCAAACTGGTCCGTAAATAGGGGTGGAGGTTAGTCATATATTCTCTTCATTAGATATGATAATTAATAAATCAATTCACATCTGCATAATGTAGCCTTAATTTTTAAGCTTTCTAATTGGCGTGTTAGCATGCATTACATGCTATATAACATTCACTTGATATACTTCTCTGAGGCCCGTTGTGCATGATTATAATAGTAAGACTTTGATATTGAATAAACTGATATTTTCTCCATCTAAATTCTATCTATTCTCTTCCTCTTCTCCTCTCTCTTTCTCAATCTCATTCTCGTCCATTTGTGTTCTACGTCAATGCAACTTCCAGTTTCCACGATGACTAACATATTCATCACTTCCAGTATTCTTGTGGAAATACTCATACAATAGGTTCTTTTTTCTGCAAGTGTTAATCAAATATTGAGCACATTTTTTTGATGTCTAAAGCTCACTTCTTCAGCGAAATATGATATGACAACCTCGAAAAAAAAAAAAAAAAAAAAAAAAAAAAAAAAAGATGATGGGAGAAATTGCTTTGAGGTGCCATCATTTTTTTATGTTTTGTGTAGATTCTAGAGTTCCACAATGCCTATTTCCAATGAACAGAAAACTTCCTTTCCTATTTAATTTTCATTGAGGAAAAGAAACCAGTGGATTCATCATGAACGAGTATATTCTATATAGATAAAACCTTGATGGAAAGCACCAATGAGATGCAGCAAACATTTACTAAAATGTAGCTACCAAAGAATGTCAAATCAGGTATGTACCTGAAGAATGCGAACTTTGTTGTTTTCTCGGGATAGAACCTTGCTGATAGCTAAATTTGGAACTATCCTGCAGAGTTTTCAGAAAACATTGTCATAAGTAAGAATCTCAAATTTATTTACAGATGACAATAGCCATACTAAAACAATTGCGCATGTGTAACTCTTCACTAAAAAGTGCATCTCAATTGCTCTACATTTGTTGCAATTCAAGAGTTTCTATGATTGTTTAAGATAGAAACAAACAAAAAGTAACTTCAACAGGAATAAAGATTAAGCATATAGAACAATTAAATAGAGTTTCAGTCAAGTTAAAAAAGAAAAGCCTAAGTTACTTACTCGGGAAGACTCTCGTAAGCAGTCAAAGTATTCCACACTTCACGAACAGGAGCTTTTACTGTTATACTGGCAACAACGCAGCGATGAACACCTCCATCTTCCTTCAGCCCAAAATGAATTCATCAGAAAACTGATGAAAAATAAATGGTTTTCTCAGGGAAAGGCAATTTATAGTGTAGAGTCAATCGGTTACCAATAAGCCATCAAATCTGCGGAGATGAACTTCGTCCACCAGGCATGATCTGTCGAGTTGACAGGATTTTCCAAATATTCCCCAGTTACTATTCAACTCTCTCGTAGAAGGGGACAATGGACCAAAACTAGCTTTGACAACTTTTTCCTCAATCTCTCCAGTGGAATGTTTATTAAGTGGAGTAATTCCATTAATTTCTACACTTTGAAGAGGAAGAGAATCTAGGGATAATGAACTTAAGGACCCTTGAGATATTAATATATTCTGGTTCCCCTCAAAATCACTTTCGGATCTGCAGGCCAATGCTTGAAGATTCACGGGAAGATCTGATCTGATAATCCTCTCAAGAAATATAGCAGGGAAGTTGAACCTTGGGATGACGTTAACTTCATAGCTCAAAGTAGTAGGTGAAAACCTGCAATAAGAAAAGTGTATATCAATAACTTAAAACCAGAAACTACCAATTGCTATTGTTAAGGTATTCAATAAATTTGATAGAATTGTAGAAATATTGTTCCCTCCAAGAGTATCTAGACATACAGAGAGATGATTGTTTTAGCTTACAACATTTTGATTCAGAATTAATGGTAAACGCACATGAAATATGCCTCCTGAAACGTGCAGTCACTTGTTCAAATGGATAACTTCTACACTTCAAGACTTTATGTGAGGAAAAATTGGCATTTTCTTCTCTTGGAAGTAAAAATGGAACTAAAAATGTCATTTAGTGAGTGAAACTTCGTGCTGATGTTAAATCCCTACTCAGAGAAAAATCAGTGTATCAACAAGTTATTTCGAACTTTGATGTAGGTAATATGTTTGAAAAGATAATTGGAAAGAAATGAGTCAACATTGAAATAGTTGAAAATCGGTGTCTAGCTCATGTAGATATGAATTTTGCAAGCAATGGGTATTGTAACGACCCAGTCCCTCTTAACGGGCTGTCCTGGTCGTTAGATCGACGACGTCCTGTCCCCACTGTGTCTTTTCAACATGCTTTATCCTCACTCGCACGCTTCCCAAGACAACTTCCCAGGGGGTCGCCCATCATAGAATTGCTCCAAGCTTAGCACGCTTGATTGTAGAGTTTCTAACGATGTACTTTCGAAAAAGATCTGTTCAACATGCTTTATCCTCACTCGCACGCTCCCCAAGAAAACTTCCCAGGGGGTCACCCATCATAGAATTGCTCCAAGCCAAGCACGCTTAACTGTAGAGTTTCTAACGATGGACTTCCGGAAAAGAAGGTGCACTTTGTTGATATAAGTAGTACCTATCAAATCTTTTTAAACTTTTCTGGTTTGGGTATTACAATCACCCCCGTTAGACTCGCGACGTCCTCGTTGCGCTTGATCCATCTGATGATCCGTTGCCAAGTGTTAGGATTCTAGAGGTGGCTCCCGCCCTATGTCGTAGCACTTTGTCCCGCATAGCACTTAGTTCCCGATTTTCGGCTGGCAACCGGGCTCTAATACCATTTGTAACGACTCAAGTCCCACTTTAATGGAGCTGTCCCGACCGTTAGATCGACGACGTACTGTCCTCACTGTACCAACATGGGTCTTTTCAGCATGCTTTATCCTCACTCGCACGCTCCCCGAGAAAACTTCCCAGGGGGTCACCCATCATAGAATTGCTCCAAGCCAAGCACGCTTAACTGTGGAGTTTCTAACGATGGACTTTCGGAAAAGAAGGTGCACCTTATGATATTAGTAGTACCTATCAAATCTCTTAAACTTTCTTGGTTTGGGGTATTACANTGGCTCCTACAGGTTCAAGAGGTGGCTCCCGCGCTATGACGTAGCACTTTGTCCCGAATAGCACTTAGTTCCCAATTTCCGACTGGCAACCGAGCTCTAATACCATTTGTAACGACCCGGTCCCACTTAACGAGCTATCCCAGTCGTTAGATCGACCACGTACCATCCCACTGTACCAATATGGGTCTTTTCAGCATGCTTTATCCTCACTCGCACGCTCTCCAAGAAAACTTCCGAGGAGGTCACCCATCATAAAATTACTCCAAACCAAGCACGCTTAACTATAGAGTTTCTAACGATGGACTTCCGAAAAAGAAGGTGCACCTTGTTGGTATGAGTAGTACCTATCAAATCTTTTTAAGCTTTCCTGGCCTGGGTATTACGGGTATCGTCTCAATGAAGTAAAAATGCAGAGAATATATGACCTGTAAAAGATATGGCAATCCTGCATAAAGTGCAACTAGTAATTTTCATAAAATAACATACTATTTCAATCGACTAGATTTGGAGCCACTTTTTAAATATTGACTTGAAAATTTTCAGTACAAACGAAATAATTTGGCTTAGAAGCAATATCGATATTTAAGTTCTTTTTTGACAGGAGATATTTTGGTATCTTAAAGAACTAAATCTGATAATCAATGACTGCAGTACAAACATAAAGTTCTGTCTTTCTCAGCAGCACACGAGTTACACTCTGTTAGACCCTTGTTTTTAGCACATTGACACCAGAAAACAAGACAGAAAAATAGATCCTTAACAAGGGTTCAATAGAAGTATCAAATGAAATTGTATATTCAACTAGAAGTTCGTTTTTAAAATAATTGAACAAAGAAAATTGAGAGAAGAAAAAGGAAGTACATTACCCTTTGCCAGATTTAACAGACCATTTGCCCTCAAACTTCTTGAAATCTCCATCAACCATAGAAAAGCGGAGTTCCCGATCATTTTCCTGAATAGAAAACAAACGCTATAGATAAAGTTAATGCATACAAAAGCTGAGTTTATTCTCAAATTTTTAGATTCCTACCACCAAATACATGTACAATAGCCACTAGTTATAATTCAAATGACTAAATATTTGAATTAAAAATCCTTACAGAGTTAGCAAATTCTTGAAGATCCAACACAACACGAGCTTCTATATGCCAGTACAGTGCCCTTTGCAAGCCTCTCTGTTCCAACCATATCCGGCCAGGATGCGGGCAAGGAATTCTACCACTAACATATGAATAACCAGAATGCACTCAAACATCAGTATTAACAATACTAGCAGTACAAATTCTTTCCCATTACCATCAAAAAATGGATACAGCTATGTTAATAATCGCATAACTTCTCTGTTGTTCCAAAGTTACTACTTTTTGCTACTTCTCCACAACATATATAATTTGATCCTAGTACCATTATATTCACAATTAAAATGCCTCCATCTCTTAACCAAAATATACTATGGCTCCAAATAATGTTCTTGAATTAATTCCTGAGGTAACAGTTTGCCTTACATGAAAGTTCAAATTGTTCAGGGTAAAATCCCACATCAGTTAAGTGTAAAATAATACCCTACATATAAAGGTCTGGGCAACTTAATAAGCTTGACATTTTGAGATTGAACCCAAGTCTTAATTCGGTATGAGAGCCCATTAAATTCAAACCAGCATTCTCCTAACAATTTCACAAAATTCTGAACAATGAAATGTCGAACTGCCTCATCTGATTCAATAAGGCATCATTACATGCTATGATCAAGTCTCATGATCATCTATTTATCCAAATTCTGCAAATCTCCCCTCTACGAGGGCGTGCTGATACCAAAATTTAGTCAACTAAATGTATTTTTCTCATGAATCAATTAAGTAAAATTTCCACATAAAGTGTTGTAAATATAGAGAAATCACCTGCTAACAAGATTAGGAATGAAATCAGCAAGCCTTTCATAGTCAGTAAGAGCATTCCAGACGGACTCAACATCTGCATTAACTGATATTTCACCCTTTATTCTGCGTTCTCTCCATGAAGCCACTTCCACAGCACAGCGAACCTTTCTGTCTCCTAAAATCACCACTTCTTCTCCCACTTTTTCTTCTGTCTCTTCTTCATTATTCTTGTTCTGGGCTATGTTTTTGCTGTGATTTTTATTACAAAACTGAATCTTGGAGTCCCATTTCGGCCTTTCTGCACTGGAAGAAGAAGATGATGAAAAGGCAATGCATGTGTGGCGTAGAAAAGACTTGCATTGGCGAAAACTTAGATACTGATTATGGGCGGTTTTCAAAGTGGAATTGAAACTCGGTGATACACTGTATTTTGAAGAGTTGCTCCTGATCATGGAGGGAGAGACTGCGTTGTGCGTGGTGGTCTGGTGGAGAGGATAGTACGGCGAAGGCGAGTGGAAGTGGGAGTGGAATGGGGGTGTTGAAATATTTTCAGACAGTTCGATTCTTGACCACGTATTCTGGGTTTGGCCTTTTTTGTACTGAGATATGAGTGGTTCAAACAAATACAGCAAATTTTTTATTTTTACATTTAAGCCTTTGTTTTGTTAAAAGTGATTTTTTGAGAATTGTGGTTAAAAATAAGTGAAAATTATGAGTTTAAACTTATTTCGCCCCTATTTGACACAAATTATTTAAAAATACATTTTTTCAGAATTTATTTTCAACAACTTAATAAAATAATATTTTTTATCACATCAAAAAAAATTTCTTACTTTTTAACCACATATTTCTCATCATATCACTATTTAAAATAAATTATTTACTCAATATTATTCATCAAACACACATTTTATTGAAAAAGTGTGTGATTGAAAATGAATTTGTATAAAAAAAAAAAAGAATATTTGAAAATGGAGGCGAATCAGAGGCTAAACTAAAAATAGTTAATCCTTTTGGGGAATAAATTAGATATATATTTTAAATACAAAATTAAAATAGGAAAAAATTTCAGGGTGACCCCAAATAAAAAAATAAATTCTGAAAATACTTATACCGAGATTTCATTCCTAAGTTATTAGATACTTGAGGAAAAGTTGAGGATAAGAATGCATAAAAAAAAAAAAAACAAACTAATGACTTATGTCTCACAGTGACCAAAGATTGTAGACCTTAAGTACAATTAAAATATAGTGCAAATAATAAAAAATTTGGTTTAAATATAATTACCCAAAACTTTAAATTATTGAATAGAGCTCCTCACGTAACAGAAGCTTATAAAAAAAAAAATTTAAAATATAAAAAAAAATAAATAAATCTTTAATTGCTCATGAATGTCAAGAATGAGACAATATTTGAAATAAAAACTTCCTACGAATTTTATTATAATCAAAATCAACTAAGGCCATTAAGGCTTATAAACTCATATTTAAAGCAATAACTAAAAGGGAAGATTACATATTCAAGAGAATAAGTTTAGTCTATTTCAAAAATAAGAACACAAGTTTAAAATTACCAAAATCAGATTTTTATTAGATTTTTTTAAATTTTTATTTATGAAATAATAAATTATTAAATTAATTTATTATTAAATATTTAATTCTAATATAATATAATTAACCCATCCCACCTTCACCACCCCTACCGCTCCGGCAACCGTTCCGATCACCTCCCTACTCCNACAACTGCCGCCCACACCTCGCCACGCCACCACAACCTCCGGACCATCGCTTGTATCGCACCACCATTAAAAAATAAACACCGCCTCCACTGCCACTGCACACATCAAACACCAACGCTGCACAACACCTGTGACCACCACTATGCAGCACCACCGAACACCACTTCAAACAAAGCAACAGCAGGAAAACACCACCACCACTTTGTCACACTAGATCCACCACCACCTCCCATCCCCACAAGATCCACCACCATCACCCACCTCCACCGCAGCTAGAAACCACGATGACCACACCAAAAAAATAGATACAAAACTTCCAACACCCCACAACCACCATCACCACCAAGGCTTGGCCACCCCTTCCACGCAGATCACGCCCACGTCCACACAAATCACACCCACCTCCACACAGAGCACACAGACCAGTGGCTGCTTTCTCGGAGGCTATGGCGATGATGCTCTTCGGGGACAAAAGCTTGGGCAGCGTCGCGACGCTGATGCGAATTCGGGCAGCAGCATCGCGACGCTGCTGCGACGCCGACAGTAGCAGCATCAAAAAATCCGACAGCAGAAGGGGAGGGAGGGGGAGGAGAGGAGAATTCACCGGCGGTAGCAGCATAGTGGAGAAAGGTCGCCGGCGGCAGCGGCGGCACCAGCACGGTGGGCAGAGCGAGATACGGGAGGAAGCGGGTGAGGGATTATGTGAAAAATTGGGGATTTTATGGTGGGAACAGGAGAAAATTGGAAATAGTTATCTATTTAATATTTAGAATTGAAATATCTGATTTTTGGAAAGTGAAACTTCCCATCTGGTTTTGGAAAAGTGAAGTTGAAAAGAAGGGTTTTGTGTAATTACCACTAACTAAAATCTAGATAATGACTAAATTTTTAGATGACGATTAACTTTATATAATGATGAGATTTAAAGATAACGATTAACTCTAAACGTAATTAAAATCCTAATTTCAAGTTATCTAGATTTCAAGGTTTGAATAATGTTTATCTCTTTTGTAGTTTATGACAATTTAAAAGGCATTCACTCACTTTTCAAAAATTTACGCAAACTCTCATATTCAAGTTTTTGAATGACGTCACGTCCCTTGACCACATTTTTTCTTATGTTAGCATAAATAATAGTGGCAATGCTTTATATACTCGTTGAAGGATAATGTAACACCTAAATTATACTTTTAAAACTTCAAATTAAATCAACACCAAAATATTTCTCATATTATTGATTCTTCAAAAATAATTAACAAATTCTCTTATTTGAGATCCTTAAAATACATTTACGTATGGTAAACTAATCAGCGCAGTTCATTTCAATTTCCCCAATCAGAAGATAAGATAATATTCTAATAAAAATAGAAGTACTAGACATTTTATTTTGACTATAAAATCAACCATTCTATACAAGATATAGCAAAATATTTTAGAAGCAAAAACATATGTAGAGTTCATTTATTATTGAAATGAGAAAATGAAGGAAGGATGAATTACCTGATGATCAGCAAAGAGAAGGGCAAAAAGGTCCATTCAATGGAATGCACATGGAATCCCCTTTTCTGTTTTGCTCTGCTGTAATTTTTAGTTGGATAGATTTTATTCTTTTATTGATTACCCTGCCAATTCTATTAATAGGTTCTAGATCATTCCTACCAACATTATAAATTGATGTAAAGGTGAACGGATGTAATTAATCAATTTTATTCAATACAATTTTCAGCTGTTTTTTGTCTCCTTTTTATCAGTGTGCACTTCATCTGCATTTTCACTTCCATTTCTTATATGGTATCAGAGCCATAAACTATGGCTGATAATCAAAGTGCCATTGTGGAAACAACAAACCAGAATGCAAACATTAAGCAAAGTTTAAACGTCAATCCAATGTCAAACATTCAACTTAATGATCCTACCAATCCCAGCAGCCCTTACTACATTGATGGAAATGACAACTCGGGCGCTATACTGGTCACTCACGTGATCGACAACACCAACTATTATGCTTGGGCAAGATCCATTAAGAGAGCACTTCGAATTAAAAACAAACTTGGCTTCATTGATGGAAGCCTCTCTGAACCAGGATCTGAACCAGGAGATTCCAACAATTTTTTGATGGAACATTGGCTACGGTGCAATGATATTGTAATCGCTTGGCTACAAAACACTATGTCTACTGATACAAAACGCTATGCTGATATTGCCCCGTGAACTCTGGTTGGACCTGGAGCATCAACTGGGACAGCAAAATGCCCCACGGATCTATGAAGTGAAACAGTCCATTGCTACTCCGATGTAGGAAGAAGATATTGTAAGTGTGTACTTCTCAAAGAATAGGACACTTCTTGATGAATTAATGAATTACGAATCGATTCCCAACTGCACTTATGGGGGTTTTAAATCAGTCATTGAGAACGAGCAGAGGGACTGGGTAATGAGGTTCCTAATGGGGTTGAGTGATTCATATAAGACAATTAAAGCTCAAATCCTCTTAATCAAACATTTTCCTACCTTGAATGAAGTCTAATCCATAATTCAATAAGAGGAGAAAAGGAGGCAGATCTCAATGAGCACTTCTGCCCCAGACTCTATGGTTTTTGCAACCAGAGGAAACTCTTACAGCGCAACAAGGAAGGGAACGAGAAAATATTATTGCACTTTCTGCAAGATGGCTGGACACTCACTGGAAAGATGCACCAAGGCTAATCCCAACAAATCATTTTGCAACCATTGTCACATGATAGGACATTCAGTAGACAAGTGCTACAAAGTTCATGGACACCCTCCTGGATGTAGACTTTATCGAAAAGGAAATACCTATGCTAGCCTAGTTTCTCTGCAGGAACGAAGAGATGCTGACAATAACCAAGCAATGTTCACTCAAGAGCAGCATGCTCAGATTCTGGCTTTGTTACAGTCACAGAACAACAAAGGTCTTGTTAACACCACCCTTTCAGACACACAAAATGTCAAACTTTCTGGTATTTTATCTTGCTTATCTGCCCATGGCACCAAAATTTGTAAAAGTCTTAGCACACCATGGGTGATTGACACAGGAGCAACAGACCATATGGTCTGTTGCACTTCATTTTATAGCAGCCCTCCAGCCAAAATAGCTTACTCAGTCTCCCTTCCAAACGGAGACATAGCCAATGTCACACACAGGGACTGTCAAGGTCACAGAGAAGTTGATTCTGAATGACGTTCTCTATGTGCCATCCTTCACATTCAATCTCATATCTGTTAGAAAGTTAACAAAAAATCAAACAATTGCCTAATATTTTTTCCTAAAAAATGTTTTGTGCAGGACCTTTCAACCTTGAAAATAACTGGAATGGGTATATCATCTGGTGCAATCTCGAGTCCCTTCTACAACATTAACAGAAGCTTTCTCTTCCAACAGAACCCCTATGTCTGTAATTACATCTAGTAGAAATAAAAATTTTGATCTCTGGCATTATAGGCTGGGACATCCTTCCTACTCTAGATTAGATTTGCTGAATGTTGATCACAATCCTAAAATTGTTAAGGAACAGTGTCTTGTCTGTCCTTTGGCTAAAATGCATAAATTGCCATTCTCCATCAGTCATCATAAATCCAAGAAAATTTTTGATCTCATGCATTGTGACCTTTGGGGTCCTTGCACTAAAATCAGTTACGATGGATCTAAGTATTTCCTTTCCATAGTTGATGATTTTAGTAGGTGCACCTGGA